CTCCCTCACCTTGTCCATCAATGTAAGTTTAACTGTCACTCATCCTGTCCATCAATGTAGGTTTAACTCTCACTTGCCTTGTCCATCAATGTAGGATTAACTGTCACTCATCTTGTCCATCAGTGTAGGTTTAACTGTCACTCCCCTTGTCCATCAAGGTAAGTTTAACTGTCACTCTCCTTTTCCATCAATTTAAGTTTCTCTATCACTCATCTTGTCCGTCAATGTAGGTTTAACTGTCACACACCTTGTCCATTAATGTAAGTTTCTATCTCCTCCCTTTCCTTGTCCATCAATGTAGGATTAACTGTCACTCATCTTGTCCATCAGTTTAGGTTTAACTGTCACTTATTCTGCCCGTTAATGTTACTTTCTCTCTCCCTCACATTGTCCATCAATATAAGTTTCTCTCTCACTCCCCTTGTCCATTAATGTAAGTTTCTCTCTCCTCCCTGACCTTGTCCATCAATATAGGTTTAAATCTCCCTCACCTCGTCCATGAATGGAGGTTTAACTGTCACTTATTTTGTTCACCTTGTCCATCAATGTACGTCTAACTGTCACTCATCTTGTCCATCAGTTTAGGTTTAACTGTCACTTATTCTGCCCGTTAATGTTACTTTCTCTCTCCCTCACATTGTCCATCAATATAAGTTTCTCTCTCACTCCCCTTGTCCATTAATGTAAGTTTAACTGTCCTTCACCTTGTAATACAATGTAAGTGTAACTGTCACTCACCTTGTACATAAATATAGGTTTAACTGTAACTCACCTTGTCCGTCAATGTAAGTTTCTCTATAACTCATCTTGTCCATCAATATAGGTTTTAATCCCCCTCACCTCGTCCATCAATGTAGGTTTATCTCTCCCTCACATTGTCAATCAATGTAAATTAACTGTCGCACATCTTGTCCATCAATGTAGGCTTAACTGTCACTCACCTTGTACATAAATATAGGTTTAACTGTAACTCCCCTTGTCCATCAATGTAAGTTTCACTATCACTCATCTTGTCCATCTATGTAGGTTTAACTGTCACATATTATGTCCAAAAATATAAGTTTCTCTATCACTGACCTTATCTATCAATATAAGTTTAACTGTTACTTTCCTTGTCCATAAATGTAAGTTTAACTGTCACTCCCCTTGTCCATCAAGGTAAGTTTAACTGTCACTCACCTTGTACATAAATATAGGTTTAACTGTAACTCACCTTGTCCATCAATATAGGTTTTAATCGCCCTCACCTCGTCCATCAATGTAGGTTTAAATCTCCCTCGCCTCGTCCATCAATGGAGGGTTAACTGTCACTTATTTTGTTCACCTTGTCCATCAATGTAGTTTTTTCTCTCCCTCACCTTGTCTATAAATGTAGGTTTAACTGTCGCACATCTTGTCCATCAATATAGGTTTTAATCTCCCTCACCTCTTCCATCAATGTAGGTTTAAATCTCCCTCACCGCGTCCATCAATGGAGGTTTATCTGTCACTTATTTTGTCCGTTAATGTTAATTTCTCTCTCACTCACCTTGTCCATCAAGGTAAGTTGAACTGTCACTCACCTTGTCCATTAATGTAAGTTGCTTTCTCCCTCACCGTGTCCATCAATGTCGGTTGTATTGTCACTCACCTTGTCCATCAAGGTAAGTTGAACTGTCACTCACCTTGTCCTTCAATGTTGCTTTAACTGTCCCTCAGCTTGTCAATCAATGTAAGTGTAACTGTCACTCACCTTGTCACCTTGTCCATTAATATAGGTTTTAATCTCCCTCACCTCTTCCATCAATGTAGGTTTAAATCTCCCTCGCCTCGTCCATCAATGGAGGGTTAACTGTCACTTATTTTGTTCACCTTGTCCATCAATGTAAGTCTCTCTATCACTCATCTTGTCTATCAATGTAGGTTTAACTCTCACTCAGCTTGTCCATCAATGTAGGTGTAACTGTCACTCATCTTGTCCATCAGTGTAGGTTTAACTGTCACTCCCCTTGTCCATCAATGTAAGTTCCTCTATCACTCATCTTGTCAATCAATGTAGGTTTCACTTTGTCCATCAATGTAGGTTAATCTCTCCCTCACATTGTCAATCAATGTAAATTAACTGTCGCACATCTTGTCCATCAATATAGGTTTAAATCTCCCTCACCTCGTCCATCAATGTAAGTTTAACTGTCGCACACCTTGGTCATCAATATAAGTTTAACTGTCACTTTCCTTGTCCATAAATGTAAGTTTAACTGTCCTTCACCTTGTAAATCAATGTAAGTGTAACTGTCGCACACCTTGTTCATCAATATAGGTTTTAATCGCCCTCACCTCGTCCATCAATGTAAGTTTAACTGTCGCACACCTTGTTCATCAATATAGGTTTTAATCCCCCTCACCTCGTCCATCAATGTAGGTTTAGCTGTCACTCACCTTGTCCATGAATGTAGGTGTAACTGTCACTCACCATGTCCATCGGTGTACGTTTCTCTGTCACTCACAATGCAAGTTTAACTGTCACTCACCCTGTACATAAATATAGGTTTAACTGTAACTCCCCTTGTCCATCAATGTAAGCTTCTCTATCACTCATCTTGACCATCAATGTAGGTTTAACTGTCACTCACCTTGTCCATCAAGGTAAGTTGAACTGTCACTCACCTTGTCCATCAATGTAGGTTTAAATCTCCCTCACCTCGTCCATCAATGGAGGTTTAACTGTCACTTATTTTGTCCGTTAATGTTAATTTCTCTCTCCCTCACCTTGTCCATCAATATAAGTTTCTCTCTCACTCACCTTGTCCATTAATGTAAGTTTCTCTCTCCTCCCTCACCTTGTCCATCAATGTAGGTTTAACTGTCACGCACCTTGTCCATTAATGTAAGTTTCTTTCCCCCTCACCTTGTCCATCAATGTAGGTTTAACTCTCACTCACCTTGTCCATCAATGTAGGTTTAACTCTCCCACACCTCGTCCATCAATGTAGGTTTAACTGTCGCACACCTTGTCCATCAATGTAAGTTTAACTTTCACAAACCTTGTACATTAATGCAAGTTTCCTCTCCCTCACCGTGTACATCAATGTAGGTTTAACTGTCACTCACCTTGTCCATCAATGTAAGTTTAACTGTCGCACACCTTGGTCATCAATATAAGTTTAACTGTCACTCACCTTGTCCATCAATTTAAGTTTCTCTATCACTCACCTTGTCCATCAATATAGGTTTCTCTCTCTACCTCACATTGTCCATCAATGTAGGTTTAACTGTCACTCACCATGTCCATCGGTGTACGTTTCTCTGTCACTCACAATGTCAGTTTAACTGTCACACGATATATTTCCATTTTGGTCAATATTTGTATCTTTATTTACTGATTTCAGATGACATCTGTTATCCAGTTCTTCGCCCGGATGTTGAATGAGGTGGAATCCAGATTTACAAGTATTGAACGTATAAATGAGTATGAAGTATGCAGCACGACTCTGTTATTTTACTTTACTTTGGTCTCCGTCTCCTTTCTTTTAATTTTATTCAATTTGAGATGTTATGAATTGGTATCATGCTATGTGTACATATTTACAGTGAATAAAATTGACCTACGCAAATAACTGAATCAAGTACTTTATTCCCATATCCTCTAGATGCAGAATGGAAAATGTAAATAAGAATGTAGTCTTTAGTGAGTTTAAATCATCTCATAAACCATTATTTGCCTTTAATTTGGTTATCTTTCCTATCCTATATTTGTTGAACTAAATTTCCTTTACGACGATATTCAATATAGGAATACATCAATACTCATTTTTATTCGTAATTGTTTAATACACCGAAGAAAACAAAAGGAAACCGGCAAAATATTTTTGTTGCTCTTTCAATCAAGCATTCTGATATCGGACTGGGTAGCCATGTGTGCCCACAACTTATTTTGCGGCGACTTGCAATGCACATTCAGTAAATCGCTTCAGAATTGGACATTGGAAAAGAGCAATGTTTTGGATGAGTCCAAGTTTCGGCTTTATCAACCAGTCGTCGGAGATCGTGTCAAAATATATCCATGAGCGCTTTCACATGCTTGAAAATAACGAAAAGGCGCCTCCGAGGGGGATTTTGTGAGAGTTTGTGGAGGGGGATTTTGTGAGAGTTTGTAGAGGGGAAGCACATGGTTTTAAGGTTCTCCTTTCGTTTAAACTCAATGACATTAAGCGCTGAGTTTTTACGAAGCAATCGACCAATTTCCGGCAGACCAACGCACATTTGCCTGTTGGGAGGCCCGTGGTGACTATCTGACGGCAAACAATGTCCCCCACTAGATTTACCCCTCACATCCCTGATCACTCCATGTTAAAATATGATGCAATTATGTAAAAACAAAAAAGACGTAGCATGACAATTCCGATCAAAATCACGCATAGAACCTTATAACAGAGAGGAGCGTCAATGCTCTGATCAATTCAATACACAAACAAGTACATGTAAACACTGCATGTTAAGGAATAGGGGGAGGTTACACAAGATGTGTATCGGTCCGAAATGCTCTTTTCTTGGAGAGAAGCACACATTGGATCAATTCAGAATTGCAAAAGGATAATTACCATTAAGTTTCCCTAGGGCGACAGAGTTATCATATACCTTGCAAGTGTACCATGATTAAAATCTATAACATTTTAGAAATCCCGTAATGGACCCTTAAATTTCAAATAGCGTTTATATTTTCCGTATGGTTTAAATTGGTATGAAATGATGATTTTAGTGAAGAGTGGAGCCTCTACGGTAAAATAGCAATGCTATCTAAGGTGCAACCCAAAAGTACAACAAGGAAAACACAGCATCCGGCTAATAAGATTTCCCTGCATGTGAAATTGAAATATCTTATTTGAACATGTATCCCTGATCCTTTTTATTATATCAGGGTTCTCTGACTCTCATCCTCGCTTAAAACTTGACAGTCGTCATACTGAGATGCAATTACAATATTTTCCGTTCATGTTTAATGTTGTGACATATCTGTTTAGATCCTCGACATCGAGAGGGAAACTGGGAGTTCGAAAGTAGACGAAAACTGGCCAAGCCAAGGAAGGATAACATTCTCCAATGTGATGATGAAATACCGAAGTGACATGGATCTGGTGCTGCGGAACATCATTTTCGATATCCTTCCCAAACAGAAGGTCGGCATTGTCGGCCGCACGGGAGCGGGTAAGACAAGTTTTAGTTTCAATTATTTGTTGTTTTATTTTGGGGGGTTTTGGGGGTTGTTTTTTATTATTTGACAACACAATATCATACTTGTTCAATACTTCTGTATATTTTGAGAATTTGTTTTAGTTATTACAGGCCTTCAAAATTTGCTTACCGCAGCACATCGACAAAATTAGAAAATTTGATTTCTGAAATGACATCAGATTATTATCAGATCTATGAAAAATAACATTTTGTACATTGAGTTAGACAATACATGTATAGTATTTTGAAAGAATTTTGTTTCTGCCATGAAATATGTATTTGTTATTCAGTTCTATTAAAATTTCATAATCAATTGATTGTCTCTAAGTTTTATTTTTTAATAATTTGTTTTCGTATTTCAGCGAATTAATAAAAGCTATACTTGAAATCTCATAAACAGCCTTCAGAACTAAACAAAAATAGCATTGTTGATAAATTCAAAAGCAAAACATTTTATTCGTTTATTTGTTGTTTCTTGATTATTGCATCACATTTGTAAACCAATGTTTTCACCATTCATTTATGTTAATATGAAAGTAAAAAGGCACGAATAAGTATGTTATATATAAAGGCTGAGCAATATAGTTTGCGTTTCTGAATTGAAGCCAGTTCTATAAAACACAATTGGTCAGTTTTATGTACTATCACTATAAATTTCTGGTAAAACTGTGTTTGATATAATTAGTACAAAAATAAACATTACAAATTTGCCTCGTAACTGCCTAATAACTACAAGTTTTCAACTCAATATTGGGAAAAGTCTAATAAACGTCTCTCGCTATGTTTGTTTATGTATATAGGTAAATCTTCCTTGGCCGCGGCGCTCTTCAGATTGACTGATATATCAGGAGGGCAAGTGGTCATTGATGACGTAGAAATTGGAACTGTATCGCGTAAACTTTTGCGTTCAATGTTGTCGTCGATTCCACAAGACCCTGTCCTTTTTGCTGGTACACTGAGGTGAGTTTTGTAAAATAAAAACGATTGTAAACATTCTTTTATAAATTATGAAATTAAGACCTTGATTTCATGGTCCAGTATTTGTTACATTTAGTACATTGGCGTGCCTAGAAGTACTTTTCATCAGTCATTCACAGCAATCATTGTCAACCCTGATGTATGAAGACAGGATTGTTTCTCGTTCTTGGTGAATTAAGTAACACTTTTTCTTTCCTCTCCTCAGATATAATCTCGATCCATTAGGCAAATACACGGACGCAGACATCTGGGCCGCACTGGAACAGGTCCATATGAAAGAAAAGGTGTGTTGTCACCTATATTAGTTTAGTGTTATAATCTTTAAACCTATTAAGCGTATTTTACATACTAGTCTTAAAGTATTTTAATCGCAATATATGGATAGAGTGACGAGCATATAATTACATGTATTGTTTATATTTAGTTTGATAAAAGGATCATATGGCGCATTTGTAGGGGTCTGAATAATGTAAATATTCCCAACGAAGTAGTAGTTCTATTTTGTTTTAAAACTAACATGTTAAACAATGGAATAACAACGTGCATGTTTAACAGTAAAATAAAATACTGTTGACTACAAAACTTTGTATACTACAGCAAAAACAATCATTGCTTTATCTTTTAGGGTCCGTATTCATGTTCTCACGCTCAAGCATGGATTCTGTGCTCAAACCCAATTTCTTGTTACTCGCTTAAACCATGTAAAACACTCAAAAAGCCACATGTAAACATTGAAAACAGTCTCGGGCTTTTAGTTCCTTCAAGGGTTTTTCAAATCATTGACGAAAGAAGACTTTTTTGTTAACTTATAGTGAAAATAAGAAATTCGGTGCGAGCACAAAAAAAGCATGCTTGAGCACGAGAACGGTTTCATGAATACGGACCTAGATCTCCTATTTTTCCTTTGTGAAATTTGTAAGTAATATGTTGTTATTCATTTAGATGAAACTCCTTGAACAGACTCTTTACTTACACATTGCGGAAAATGGAGAAAAATTCTCTGTGGGTGAACGACAACTAATATGTTTGGCACGTGCAATCTTACGTCAAAATAAGGTAGGAATACATTGACGGAAACCCAAAACTTGCAAAGATTAACGAATTAACAAATTACCTACATTATTGTATATCAAAGTGTATACGGAATATAAGGAATGTTATTCTGTAAATAATCAGATACATGACAAGTGTTTATACATAGATCATGTTGTATGAGATATAAAAGAAAACATCAATTTTTCTATAAAGACTATTTAGTATGTACATAGGAAAAATATATATGGAGCCCATCAGAGATTTCTGATTTAGTCGTTTCTGTAATCAATCTTAATGCAAAGTATGACAAGTCTTCGTACTGTCTTTCCAAATTGCTTGTCATTTTTCTGAATAAGGGTTGCTTGCCAAGTTACTTTAAGGAAGAGTTATAAATGAAGGAAATACATTACTTGAAAGAGATAGCTTCCCCATGATGCTTTGATCTCGAGCTTTTCAAATATAAATCAGAAAGATTATCCACCTCGCTATCAGTCATAGTATTTGTTATGTTGATACGTTTTTGCAACATTCCTGGAATAAGCTTCATTTTTTTAAATCCCTGAAAAGGTCCACAACCTTTATTTGATTTGTCTTTTTGTTGATAAAGAGCATGTAGCATGAATTTGGTTTACACAGGAAAGTGGTTTACAACGATTTCCTTGTATTTGTTTTAAATTCTTGTAATGCACTTCAGATCCTCCTCCTAGATGAGGCCACAGCGTCCATCGACACGTCCACAGACGCCTTGATCCAGGAGACGATCCGGGACAGCTTCTCCGACTGTACTGTCCTTACGATCGCTCACAGACTCAACACCGTCTTACATTGTGACGTCATACTAGTTATGGAGGCTGGACGGGTGATAGAAACTGGCAATCCGCAGACGTTGTTACAGAATCCGTATTCACATTTCAGCAATATGATTCGCGCCCAAAATGTGCAGCCAACTGAGGTTTAAGCTGTAGATAACATGTGTTTGAAGAAAATTATAGGCTTTATTATATTTTGGTATGATATTTATCTATTGTTTTTACTATAAGATTGATTCCCCTTGTCAATGACAGATACGTTACATTCCTAATATCAAGTCAATGTTGTGTTCTTTTTACCTATGTGTTATTTTCATCGGGTGACAGGTTCCGTAACATATACGTAAAGCTTGTTCCCCAGTCTGCACTGAACAAACCAGAATTTCTGAATCTGTACTGTCTGTACAATTATAGACTATGAAGAGAGAATCCTTTGTCGGTTGTTATTACGCCAAAACCCTCCCCTAAAATCCGTCTACGTTACATATATATATTGCTTTTCACTTCCATGGCGTCACAAATCAGTGAGTAATATTCTGCACATGGCTATGTCCCCAACAGCAGATCATTGCCGACAAAAACTATACATGTGAGGGGGGGGGGGGGAGGGAATCAGTTATTACAGTTAGTATAACAAAATAATACAATCATTCACGTTTAGGGAAGACAACACGGGAAATATCAAACATAATATGCTGATATATATATCGTTTCGTTTGTGTGAATAGCTTTTCATAAATCGTTTATAAATATTCATTAGAAACACGAATCATGTTTAAAACGGTAGCATTACATGGTTTGTCGTCACACCTGTCGTTGATCGTTTATCTCATTGTCAACCGTCGGATAACCAGTAATCTCACTAGCTTATATAAAGGACTGAAGTAATAATTACCTTCTGTTTTGGCCTTGCAAGCCGTCACATGGTTGACTATATCATAATGTCGCTGGACAGGTCAGGTCAAGTAATATAGCTCATAATACTAGTAACTATGTATCTGGCACGGTACCCAACAATATGTGAGGTCCCCGAGAAACTGTCACTACTATAAGAAGAGCACACTGTAGGAATAATGGGTTACAATGTCTACAATATGCAGAGCACAATAAGCCGTCCGTACAGTCTGGAGTCCTGGAAGGAAGAGAGTTGGGGTCAAGGAATACTCACTCAAGCAGCACGGGGTCTCTGGCATCTTACTTCCGGTGGAAGCCCGTATGACGTAATGTAAACAGACCCTCGACACTACATTCCTCCCAACCTTATAATGAAAGTCCTTTGTTCTCGGAGATCTTGAATTGGCGAATATCCTGATCCTTAATCAAAGTTCCCACAAACTATAAGCCTGTGTTTTAATAACATGTTCTATTACTGGTTGTTACTCCATGAAACATGGAGTTAGAAACAACTGCCGGTCCAACCAGTTATATTCAGTTTCAGGAGAAGCAAGATATAATTCCCCTTGCTCAGATTCCGTACCGTCCGTCAGGTATCTGATCCTGAACGTTACACCTATTCACGTGAAACTGACTGTCCTGGAACTCAATATCAGAACTTGATTCATTAACTCTCGGTTCCACTGATAAAGTGGACAAACTATCTGGAGACATGGCCTCTAGAACTAGCTAAGTTGTCGGCCAGCTGTCATGGCTACCACAATCAGGGTGTCCGTAGCTAAGAGTGACCTAGGTAACTGTGCTATCCTGATGTTTTCCCAAGCCGGTTGATCTTCAAACTGAGATGATTGTGTCTAACTGGCATGCATACCCTGAGGGTATACAAGAGAACTTAAACCACTCACGGAAAATCAACCCCTGGCATGAGGGTTAAGTATACTGTCCACAGAGGGCTCCTTACGGCAGTTCACCTGACCTATAAGCTCAGGACACTCGCTAGGATTTCCTCCGTCTGGCCTTGCGGGTTATGTTTCAATGTGGCCACAACAGTTCTACAGGACTGGAAACTCTGGTCCACGCAAGGAGAACTGTCCGTCAGGTTCTTAATGTCCTCCACTTCTATAGCAAACTCGTCCCATTATTTGTCTGCACGCTGCTCTATCATCTCCTCCATTCTGGAGTCGCTCGCAGATACTGCATTGACGTTTCCAGTAACATCTTGATCTTTGCACTTACCCTTTTATTGTCCATAGCTTGACCGACATACTGATAGTGTTTCATTAGATTAGTCGCATCCTCCATTGATCTTGGATGGCCCAGACAGGCATGTTTACCTGCTTCCTTGGCTGAGGCTCCTTGACAGTACTTGGCGATAGCTTCAGTACAGCCATATTTTTCCGGTAGGTGGCAGAAAGCTGGAGTGGCTAGAGTCATGACTCTATCTGCCCATTCATCTAAGGGCTCGTCTTGGCTTTGACTGGCCTGCTGAAATTGTATCCTGGACGTCTTTGTTAACTCTTTGGCGTCAAAACGAGTCTCCAGCTTATTCGTGATTTCCCCGGAAAGAACGGCAGCTTCCCATCTTTGTGACTAGGGTGAAGTAGTCCAACGCCTTTCCTTCTAATGCCCATCCAAGATAATCCCGACACTGACTGTGTGACCATTCGAGGGCGTGTCTGTAGCTGTCAACCTTCTGCTTAATTGACAGCCAATTAGTTTGACCATCAAACTTCAGATTTTTGGGTAATTTCATAGGATTTCCCCTTCTGGATGAATGTTCATGGTAGTCCTCAAAGTAGTCGCCGTCACTGGAGGTATCAGAGGAATCAAAGTAAAACCTTGACCTACCCCTCCTCTCACGATCATGATGACGTTGTCCATGTCGACGTCGGGCATGCGACCTATCATTCCTGTTTCTATGACCGTGACACGACTTAGCCATGTAAGAGCTGTGTCCCGTCCTATAAGGACTGTGTCTACGGCCATGTCTGTCCCTTGATGGTGTTCTTGAGGACATCCCAGCATACCTCCCTGATGGCCTCGACCTAGATTTTGACCTCGAGTCATATAATGACTCCGAGGGGGAGGGTGACCTTGAAGGGGTTCTGTATTTATGATGGCTACCCCTGTGTTTTCCCTCATAAGGTTTCCCTCGTGTCCGGTCCGATACCAAACCTCGGCCATCAGTGCCTCCTGTGACCTTTGGTGGTCTCTCCTATGCCTAGATGATACCATCTGTGTACCAGGAGCAACTGTATGTTTCTTATCAGTAGGAACCATATCCGGTGACCTTGACGACCTGGAGCACTGACTTGATGTATAGTGTCGGTGCTTGCCTTTGTCAAGGTTCCTCGGACTTCTCACTGGCATGTCCTGGTAAACAGTTGGACTTGATGGACCACTGGGCTGGTACTTGTCCTCAACGGCTAAACTGCTGCTTCGCATACGTATCGGCTCTTGATACATTTCATGCATCCTGGAGGAACCTGATACATACGAATATCTAGATTCAGCTGTGCTGTGCTCCACCATCTCCTGTTTAACACCATGTTCAGACAGAACCTTATACCTGGCTCCCTTGTCCCTTGATAAATTTCGTTATGGAACCTTGGGGAAATCAGCCATGTATGGGTTCTGTTGTCGTGCAGGTCTTGACTGCTTACCCTATAGATTTTTTGGTGACCATGGGTCAGTGCTGTTGTCCACATCAGGGTAATAGGTATCAGCCTCCTTACCTGCACCAGGTTTAGTGGTGTGTGCAACGGGTTGGGCAACATGGGGTGAGGCACCACGGGTAGGGGTCCGTATTCGGGCTGTATATGAGGGTTCAACCGGTACCAAGCGTAATATCTGCCGTACCCTTACTGGTGGGGCTGCTAGGTCATCTGTCCCTTGTTGGGGTGTGGTAGCACCCATATCTGATGGTACATGTCCTAGCAGATCTCTTAAATTCTGTGACTCAGAATATTTGCTGCCCTGCACAGGGATATTGTCCTCAAAATCTATAAGATTTATTAGGTCCCTGTCCATCCTCCTCCTACCAAAAACTGATGTAAACTGGGGCATTGATATGAACCCAAGTTGTTCCCGAATTTCCATAATTCTGGCAGCCCTCTTAGGCCCTATGCCTGGAAGTTGCCTCATTTCCATTTCTGTTGCAGCGTTGATATTTATCAAAACGTGTTGGACCATGGTGTTTTTATTAATTAATGTTCTTTAAAATGTTGTCCTTTTTTCTCTCTTTCAAAAATAATTGCCGTACTTTCCGGATATCTGATGCAAATATCGGAATGAAAACCGCGTGACCACATGACTACTACAACAGGTAAAAATCAGAAATATTCCGACTCAAAGCTGTTGAATCATCAGAAATACAGCGCGAATAAATTTCACACTAAAAATCAATGCTATCCTAGCACTTCTGACACCAATGAAGTAATAATTATCTTCTGTCTGGGTCTTGCAAGCCGTCATATGTTTGACTATATCATAATGTCGCTGGACAGGTCAGGTCAAGTAATATAGCTCACAATACTAGTAAATATGTATCTGGCACGGTACCCAACAATATGCGAGGTCACCGAGAAACTGTCACTACTATAAGTAGAGCACACTGTAGGAATAAAGGGTTACAATGACTACAATATGCAGAGCACAATAAGCCGTCCGTACGGTCTGGAGTCCTGGAAGGAAGAGAGTTGGGGTCAAGGAATACTCACTCAAGCAGCACGGGGTCTCTGGCATCTTACTTCCGGTGGAAGCCCGGATGACGTAATGTAAACAGACCCTCGACACTACAGGACCCTCAATAGGCCTTAAGGGTCACCTTAGTTGTCATTGTGACGTGAAAGAAACCAAATAGCGCATATATACCAGATATGTCTGTTTGGGTTTCTTGACTTGGCGGTAGAGACCAACACATATTATATATATATATGGCAGGAAAATGATGAAATGATATTGAAATATAGCAGCATTTCCTATCCCAGAAATCTCAATTTTGATAAAGCATGTTAGAACCTTAGATGTAACTGGGCCTGAAGGAGAAGCAGATTGTTGAAATGAAGGGTTCTAATTTGGGCCTTCTTGTGGCTCTGATCGATAAGTTTGTTTTTTGGCATATGCGTACCTTGGGCTTTAGGTCAGCTAGGAGCTCGGAGACCATTTTGTTTATCGGAGAGTTCAGACCATCGGAGACAAAACAAATTGGGGTGATCCGGATGTAATGAAATTCACAAATTTGATATATCATCTT